TGAGCTGAGAAGTGGCTAAACTGAGCTGAGAAGTGGCTAAACTGAGCAAAACGGTAGCTCAAAAGTAAACAAGCAAAAAACAAAAAATAGCTAACCAGCTAAAAGCTAAATTAGCAAAGAGCAGCTAAAAGCAAAAATGTAGCTAAAAGTAGCTTAAGAAGACAAACGAGTCAAAATGCTGAAGTTAACTTCAAAGAAAATGTTTTTGAATAAGTGAAGGAAATCTCAACGAGTTTGTTTTTATAAAAAAGACTGATCGTACAAGTCAAAGCACAACTTTTAGATTCTTTATTCAACCTTTATTCCTGCAGGTTAGTCCCATTGAGCCTCAGGGACTCGTTGAACTTGATGTTTATATACGAGTTGCATCGTGAGCACAAAGTGCAGGTATATTGATAGAGTTCAACTCATTGGACCATTAGTTTAAACGTCCTTTTGTCCCCCCCCCAGGTGAGACCATCCTCGGCCTGAGGGAGAGCCTGACGTGGGCCACCGACTGCCTGAAGGGGGAGGACTCGTCTGTAGCCGTGTCCTCTGGGGGGGAGCTCTTCCTGCGTTTCATCAGTCTCACTTCACTTGAACACCAGGTGAGTGACGGCTAAAAACAAGAGAATAAAATTCTTTAGCTGATACGATGCAGCTGAAGAAACAAGCTAATAATCCTGAGGACCGGAAGCTGCAGACTCCAGATCGACTTCCTTTGACTTGTTTTAAGGTTTTTATCTCGTCATGGAGCGAAGAGAGCTCATGGAAAATACACTCCTCGTATGATGGATTTGTGGGGGCCCAGGCCACCACTGGCCACCCCCTGGCTCCTCCACTCAGCAGGATCTGTCAGTCTGCTGCCTCCAACAAGAACAATAGAAAATAAACCTCCCTCTGTTCTCCACACTTGAACATGTTGCATCAAAAACATTTAGGTTCATTCTGTGTTCGGTTCCAGTCCAGAAAAACACTCGGGTCCAAACATTCACTGCTCGGAGAGACGGGGCCGTCTGCGTCCTCCGTGCAGGTTTAAAACCTGCGGGTAGTTGAGAAGATGTTTTACTAACAGGCACGTGGCGTGCACACACACGAGCAGAAACCTTCGTTCTGCTGGTTTGACTGTAATGAACAGAAGAAAACTCAAAAGAACTGGAGGAGAGAAAATAAAAAGACGAGATAAAACAACACGTAGTTTTTGTCTCAAACACTGAAACATGCTGTTGTTGGTCAGGACTTGTCTCGCTGTAAGAAGGTGATGGAGGAGAGAGGAGAACTCTTCCTAGAGAAGATCTCCATGTCCAGGAGCAAGGTCGCCAAGCTCTGCCACACCTTCATCAAAGATGGCGCCGTAAGTCTCCCACCCCTCCCGTTTTTATTTGCATCCACTTCGGCTGTTGTTTTTATACTGCTACTGTTTCTTAGAGCTTATTGTTTTTCTTTACATTTTATACTTCTGTTGGCTGTAACTGTGCACAGTGTCGTTCCACCATGTGATGTGAATGACAAATACACTTTGACCTTGAACCTTGACCTTCAGCGTGCTCTGAGCTGCCTTAGCTGTTCATGTCAACACGTTCAGCAGGAACTTTGGAGCAGAATAAAAACATCTTTAGAGCAACACACAGTCTGTATTCCACAAATGTCTAAATCCAGCTGGAATAAGTGTTTTTAATCAGGAAAAACAATTAAGTTAGCGGTTAAAAAAAAACTGAAACGAAACATTTTCATAAAGTGAGGAAAAGATTTATGAATTTTGTTCATTTTCACAGAAAATTGTGTTTTTATATTTTCTTCTGAGTTTTCTGTTTTTAACTCAAAAACAACCAACAAACCAGAGCAGCGGACAGACCCCCTCCATCAAACCGCTTCCTGCGTTGCTCCGTGTGGACACGTGTTTTTGTGTCTTCCCGTCAGAAAATCCTGACGCACTCGTACTCCAGAGTCGTCCTGCGAGTCCTGGAGAAAGCTGCTGCGGAGAAGAAACGCTTCTCGGTGTTCGTGACCGAGTCGCAGCCGGACGCTGCCGGGTGAGCGACCCGTGCGTCGGTCCTGAAGGACTCGCACTCACTCACTCACTTTGTTGTTGGTTCAGCCGACAGATGGCAGGAGCCCTGAAGAAGCTGCAGGTTCCCGTCACAGTCGTCCTGGATGCTGCTGTCGGGTGAATTACCTCCGTTTTCTTTTCAAAGTAAAAGCCTAGCATTAAAGGATGGACTGGAACCACGATCGTGGGTCCAGGTTCTGTTCAGACTTTGAAAACGGAGCCGTGGGCAATCAAGACATATTTTGCTAACAGACGAACACAAGTAGGTGCATGAAATAGGTGTTTGTTTGCCGTCACAGGTACGTGTTGGAGAAGGTGGATCTGGTTATCGTCGGCGCTGAAGGAGTGGTGGAGAGCGGCGGCATCATCAACAAGGTGCGTCTGTCACAAGCTTCTAGAAAAACGTTTCGCGGACATGATCGGTTTTTACTCGTGTCCAAAAGTTCAGGTCGGCATCAGAATCGTGGATTTGTCCTCCAAGAATGAATCAAACCGTCATCCTGGAATAAAAGCTCCAAACAGAAGAAAATAATAAAAATAATTTAAAAACCTTGGATTAGAAGAAAGACAATCACAGGAAAAACCATCGTGTGGCCGAAGCAGCAGCCGAAGCAGCAGCCGAAGCAGCAGCCTGGAAGCTCAACACGATGTTTTCATGTGAGCTGCTGCCAGTGCTCAATGTGGTCGCCGTGGTAACCATCAATGTGGTAGCCATGGTAACCACGCCTGTCTGTCCCTCCCTGACGGCACGGCCTAGTTTTGTGTGAACTGTATTTTGAACTGAACTAAAGACGTTTAAGGACAGGACAGTGTATATTTCCTGATAAATTTCCCACGTGAAGAATAACCTGCTCGTTTTAGGATGTTTCAACTGAACAATCCACAAAGTTACAGGTTGGAATCCACTAACAGAAATGAAAACATTTAGTTTTAATGTATGGATGATGGATGGATGGATGATGTATGTATGGATGAATGATAGTTGTATGTGTGATTGGTTGGATGAATGATGTATGGATGGATGTTGGTTGGTTGGATGGATGATGGTTGGATGGATGATCTATGTATGGATGAATGATAGTTGGATGGATGATGTATGTGCGGATGAATGGATAGTTGGATGGATGATGGATGGATGATGTATGTATGGATGAATGATAGTTGTATGTGTGATTGATTGGTTGGATGAATGATAGTTGTATGTG